GCAAAACCCCATATAGAGCAAAACCCCATATAGAGCAAAACCCCACATAGACAAAACCCCATATAGAGCAAGACCCCACACAAGCAAAACCCCACATAGGGCAAAACCCCATATAGGGCAACACCCCATATAGGGCAAAACCTCATATAGGGCAGAATCCCATATAGAGCAAAACCCTATATAGGGCAACACCCATATAGGGCAAAACCCCACATAGACAAAACCCCACATAGACAAAACCCCATATAAAGCAAAACCCCATATAGGGCAAAGCCCCATATAGAGCAAAACCCCACATAGGGCAAAACCCCAGTGCAAACCAATGACAATTCCCCATAGAAAGCAAAACCCCAAAAGAAGAAAAAGCCCCATATGGAGCAAAACCCCATTGTGATCCAAAGGCCAAACCCCACACACAGCAAAACCCCACTGCAGACCAATGACAGAACCCCATTGCAGACTTATGGCCAAACCCCAAGTGGAGCAAAACCCAAATGATGGAAAACCCCCATATAGGGCTAAATCCCATTGCAAACCAATGACAGAATGCCATAGGAAGCAAAACCCCATGTGAAGGAAAAACCCCATACAGAGCAAAACCCCATTGTGAACTGATGGTGAAACCCCATATAGTGCAAAACCCCATATAGAGCAAAACCCCATATAGTGCAAAACCCCACATAGGGCAAAACCCCAGTGCAAACCAATGACAATTCCCCATAGAAAGCAAAACCCCAAAAGAAGAAAAAGCCCCATACGGCGCAAAACCCCATTGCAAACCAATGGCCAAACCCCCATACAAACCAATGACAAAACCCCACTGTGAACCAATGGTGAAACCCCATATAGAGCAAAACCCCACATAGAGCAAAACCCCATACAGAGCAAAACCCCATATAGGGCAAAACCACATATAGGGCAAAACCCCACATAGAGGCAAAACCCCACATAGAGCAAAACCCCATTGTGAACCAATGGTGAACCCCCACATGGAGCAAAACCCCATACAGAGCAAAACCCCATACAAACCAGCAGCCAAACCCCACAAGGCCCCGCTGTGGCTCTGCCTGCCCTCCCACCACCCCACAGCAAAGTGTTACTGGGGTCTCCCCCCCCCAGGACCCCTTGGCCGCCTTCGTGCCGCTTTGGCGGCTCGACCCCACTAATCCCACAGCCGAGGTGCAGCGTGGGGCCATAATCCCATTTTTTGGCCCAGATTCGGGGCCAACCCCACAGATGGCCGCGTTAAGGACCCCCGGCTGTGGGGCTGGGGGCTGTGGGACCACCGAGTGGCCACGATGGGGGGGAAAATGAGGGGGGGGGGTGGGAAACGATTGGGATCGGGGTCGAACCACACACCGTATGGCGGCCGACCCCAAACTCCCACCCCATCCCAGCCCTATGGGGTCGCCCCGCAGCCCCCCACCCCACACGCCAACGTGAAGAGCTTAATTTGTGTCATAAGCTTCCTAGTGCTCGGGGCCGCGATGAGCTTTGGGGTTTTATCTCCCGGGATTAAGCGGGCAAGTCGTCTTTCTTAGCGAGACGCCCTAATGCCACTTAACACCTGGGATCCCCGATTTTCATTAGGGGCGTCAGGGACAATTAACGGAGAAAAACTAATAAATAGGGCAGGGTCCTCCTGAAGCTTAATCAGCAAATGCGGCCGCTGTGGGGTTTTAAGTCCCATATGTGCTGGGGATGGATGGTCCCATAGGGGGCTGCTGTGGGGCACCGTGTCCACCCCCCCAGCAACCATGGGTGTGGGGTGGGGGGGTTCTGTCCTGCTGTAGGGTTGGACACTCGGGGG